CCGCTCTGTGTGTTAGAATGTATCCTGGAGTTAATGTGAAGGTTAAGAAGCGAGTGTGAGCGTCTTTTCTCAGATGTGAGGTTTTGATTAGGGCTAAGGCCATAATGTAGCAAAGTCTGAGGTTATGTGTTTAAGCATGCAGCAAACATTAGCTTTGGAGAAGTTTGGAAGCGAGTGACGTGCCGATGGGCTATATTCAGCTCTGAAAGAGGTATGTTGGTTTTGCTTGTGAATATCACAGAAACCCTGAGGTTGAAAGGAATGTCTGGAGGTCCTCTAGCAGGGTCAGCTGGAGCAGGTTGCTCAAGACCATGTCCAGTTGTGTTTTAAATATCTTTGAGCAGGGAGACTGCACAAGCTCTCAGGCAGCCCATTCCGATGTTTCACCACCCTCGCTGTTACTGAGGTTTTGTTCATTGTATTTAGATGAAACGTCCTGTATTTCAACTTGTACTCATTGCCTCTCATTGTATCGGCATGTGTCACTCAGAGTCTGGCTACACTTTCTTTAGTCCTCCTCCATCAGGTATTTGTACACACTGGCAAGATTCTCCCTGCACCTTCTTTTCTCCAGGCTAACCAGTCCCAGCTCTCTCAGTCTCTCCTTGTATGAGAGATGCTTTAAGCTTTTAATCACCTTCATAGATCTTCACTGGGCTAACTCCTGTATGTCTGTGCGTCCTGTACCGGGGACCTAGCGCTCCAGGTGTGCCTCACCAATGCTGACCAGAGGGGAAGGATCACCCCTGTCAACCTGTTGGAAATATTCTGTCTAATCCAGGGTCTTTGCTGCAAGGGTGCGTTGCTGACTTGGGGTCAACTTCATGTCCACGAGGATTGCCAAGTCCTTTTCTGCAGAGCTGCCTTGCAGCTAGTCAGCCACCAGTGCCTGCTGGTACATGGGGTGAATCCTTTCCTGATGCAGGACTTCACACTTTCCTTTCATAAGTTCCCTAGCTTCATGTCAGCCCATTTCCTCAGTCTGTTGAAGTCCCTCTGAATGGTAGCCCAATCACATGGTCCACCAACCATTTCTCCCAGTTTTGTATCTTCTACCAGCTTGCTGAGTGAGGGTGCATCCTGTCCCATCATCCAGGTCGCTAATGAAGGTCAAATAGTGTGAGCCCCAGGACTGACCCCTGGTATGCAGCATTAGTCAGGGGCGCTGGACTTTGTTCTGCTGAACACAACCCTTCCACCTCAGCGGTTCTGCAAGTTCTCAGTCCACCTCACTGTCAGCTTATCTGATTCATCCTTCTTCAGTTTGTCTATGAGGATGTTAAGGGCAAGAGCATTGAAAGCCTTT